ACACACACACACACACACACACACACACACACACACAGCACCTCATTCAAATGTTAGCACTACATAAATGTTGTAAATTATCATAGGGTATCTAAAAACCACATTTTTTTCATAATTTAAAGCTTAGTTATAACTTTTAAAAATTCTTTTGACCCGTCTGGATTCGAACCAGCATCTTTCAGCAAACCGTGCTAGACACTATGCCAACTAAGCCACAGAGGTCATTAAAAACCAACAAGAAAGATCTGAAATAATCACATAGAGAAATTAGTAAGGTCCGCTGGTTCGTTCCGTGGCCTAGTGGCCTATATTTAACACAATTTAATGCACATAGGACATTTAACACCATTCTCATTGCATATTACTGGGTCTTAAGAGGCTATAGTAAATGAGCAACTCACTAATTTTTTCTTCGACTGTACGTAGAGAAAATGTTTCAACGTTTCATCAGCGTGAATCACATCGAGCAGTAAATTTCGGCGAGGGCCAGCCTCGCGTTTACGGTTTGACCTCTTGTTTACGACGCAATCACAGTTAAACGAAATTGCCGAAAAAACACGTCGGTGAAATAAAGGTCTATCGGTAACATTGTTGACGTGAAGTTACTATTATGATTTATTGGTTTTGGTCTTGTTTCGTTACACCCTTAAGTTTATTTAATATTTTCAGTTGTATGGGTAGAGTCACCAATGATAACGTATTGTAGAGGATGCAGAAAATCTTGGAGCTCCTAAAAACAGTTAAAAGGAGGAAACTGCAGTACTATGGACATACCATGCGGAGTAAAAAAATACTCTCTACTGCTTTAATTCATTCTATAACGAAAAATACAGGGCCGCAGAAGCGTGGTCGTAGATAATTGTATTTTTTGTATAAAAAAAAACTGAGCTCAAAAGTTTGTGGAATTATATCTATTTGCCAAGTTTTATTGAAATCGGTTACCGAAAAGTGCGCGAAACCGGATTCATCCCCTACTACTACGACTACATCCCCTAGGGGGTGAATGTTTTCTTCAAATTTAAATGGGACCAATAATGAGGTACCCTCTTTCCAATAAAAATACAATAATCGAAATCGGTTCACAAATAGAGTCATCGCGTAACATACACAAAAAAAAATACAAGTTGAATTATTTTCAAAAACCACATGGTTTCACTATCTTGCAGAGTGGTTCAACAAGAGTACCACAAAACTGCTCCGAGTCGCAACTTCACGGACCCAAGTAGCAAGTATACTTATAGGCGACGTCCGGTAGGAGATGGCATCCCAAGGAGAATTATAGTGGTATAGCGATTTGTACGGCTCTGGATGAGGAGGTCCCTGGTTCAATTTTCGAAAAAACAGAGATTCAATAGTCCCGTCTTTTTTACTCCATCTTCAAATTTTGCAAAAAAGTGTTGCCCGTTTGCAAGCAGTGAGTGACGGCAGTCGATAATCATTCTATCGACTATCTATTGAATCCTGGTTCCGCTTATGTAATAAATAGAAGAACTTGTTTCTATTGACTCATCATCGGCCAACTGCAGGACATAGTTCATTTGAATTGTCAATTTGTGAGTTCATATATACATACACTTCATTTAGAACTGTATGTATTTAAAATAAAAAGGGGAGACATGTTTTAAAGGTTGCCATTTTTATTCAATATAAATAATCAAATTCGCCTGTTTACTAAAATGTAAATGAATAAAAATTTCAATATTAGTGGGCCAACTGTCAAAATAGGAATAACGAAAGCAATAACACAATTGGAAATCATTAGAACGTTGTAGCATTCACAATTCAGACATGGCAAAATTTTACCTCATTTTAGAATACATCGTTAAAACTGTCGACAACAATTAACATGACTATTAAAAATTTTATGAAAACTGACAACACTGCAAATGTTATTTTAATCCGCCTTTAAAAAAGAAAAACTGATTGACTGAAAAGAAAGACTGACTATAAAATGATTTTGGTTTCAGTGTTCTGAGTAGTACAACAGAGTGAACTCCGTTGCTATGGTACCCATATATATAGGAAATTTTCTAGTTTGAGATTAAGTAATTTTTGTAGATTTCGGGCACATTTTCTCTGAACTTCGATCTCCTTTTGAGAACTATGTGAATTTCCTTACAAGATTACTTCTTTTGAGGTACCTATTTGTAATGATATCGTTGACATCTGTACCTATAATGAAATTTCACCCGAAACAAAACCGCGTGTTTATGGGTCGATGCCCCCTGACCCCTAGTCGACTTTTTTGATTCTGAGAGCCTTCTTGCGCTTTTGAATATTGACAGAAAAGTGTAAACAAATTATAACTTTTTGGTGGAAATTTATATTTAATTAAGTACTATAATTCAAGATCAAATTGGCTTAAAAATGTCTACGATGCATTGAGGAAGTCATATAAGTGCTTCTTCCACGAGTTTACTGTGACAGTTGTCGCTATTGACCACGTAAATTACTCCAATATACTGCATGGCAAAATATACAGCGCCCCTATCGGTCAGAAGAAAAAACAACATTTTATATTGAAATATTTTACGCGGTCGTGATAATTATCACTGTAATCTCGTGGTAGAGGCACAGAATGAATTTTACGGCTTACAAGTTAAAGATCGAATTTGTTTAACACTTTTCTTCACACTGATTTACTCAGAACCAAATAGTCGATCAGGTATCTTAGGTTATTGATTGTACACTGAAATGCCCGAAAATTCGTGCGTTCAAGCGTGGTACGACCTACAATAGATATGGAAACCGTAAGTAAGTCGAGTAGTTGCTGAGTTTTGGCATTATTCCGCCGCTATGTACTTGTAATTCTTTAGTGCATTCATCTATATACAAGTAAATTACCTGAAACTCCAGTTTGTAGAGCACGGGGAACTTTCGTCGCTGCTCGCACAGTTTCGGGAAGTTCTTAAGTTCGACAGGCCGGTCGGGGATCGTTTCCGATATCGAACCGTTCTCGTCGGCTGTGAAGGAAAACGTGCATGTTAATTATATAATATTGCTTAGGATATGGTATGTCATGGTATAGTATGGTATGGTATGGTACGGTATGGGTAACCTATCAACAAAGTCGAAAATGTTTTTGTCCGAAATAACGTTTGTTCGAATTTTCGTTACACCGAAAACTGAATTATACCGAAACAGTTGTTCTTTCAGGATATGTTGAATGTTTATCGCAAAGACACGATTAGGTTCGATTAGGTTAGGTTGAGTTCCCCGGAGTATCACGAGTGCGGCGCTGCTACAGACTCGGCGAGGCACACCTTGGAGGTGTGCCCGACCTGGAGCCAGCAGCGCCGGGATCTCGTAGAGGTGGTGGGACGAGACCTCTCACTGCCCAGCATAGTTAGAGCCATGCTGGGAAGCGAGAGGTCATGGCAGGCGATGGTCTCCTTCTGCGAGGACGTGATGTCGCAGAAGGAGACAGCCGAACGGGTCCGCGAAGACAGCGCCCTCTCGGACCCCATTCGGCGTCGGCGGAGAGGACGCACGCGACGGCTCTTCGCCGACCGCCTGCGTCCCATCAGCGGAGGCCAGCAGGGTGCGGGGTTGGGAGACCCTGCCCCTGCATTGCACAGGCCTCCGCCGCCGGTAGATGCCCCAAATGTTCCGGGGCATCTCCGTGCAGGTCGCCCCCCATGATTAAGGGGGCGATGGTGTAGGGGTCCGCCGAAAGGCGGACCAGCACCACCGGAGTCGCGGTAGCATCTGAAAGGGACCCCGCGGCTCCGGCGCCAGGTGCGCGCAGGAACATCGTGAGGTTTTTAGTGGGTATGCTCTTGGGGATCGACATAGTCCCCAGGAGAGAGTCCCACATACCCCCGCCGTCTCCCAGCGGCGGGGAATGCGTAACGCATTTTCCTCACGGTAATAAAAAAAAAAAAAAGGTTAGGTTAAGTTAGGTTTAAAAGAAAAAAACATTTTCCTCTCCAAAATTACTTTCGAGGTTATGAAATTTCGACCAAACGTTATTTCTGGAAAATGTCATTTCGGACTCCTGATAGGTAACCTATGGTATGGTATAGTATGGCATGGTATGGTATAGTTTGGCTTTTCTAGGAACCTCAGCATTCTTTTGGGTTTCGTGAAGACTTTGGTGAGCGATCTTCGCACGCATGGGTTATTTCTGATGATGAATGGTAAATGCGTTTTTGTTAGAATGCATAATTAATTAAGTGTATAGAAGAGACCCTGACTGACCCTCCCTATCAACCTCTTGGTTAAGCGAGAAGAGACTACAATCTGTGCGAGCAAGTCCGCACAGGGACCTTTCCAGTGAGGTCCAGGGAACCCCAGATCAGCCCTTTTGCATGAACTTCATCCGGTCCTCAAAAGGCTAGTGCTTTGGTCCCGGCTGCACGTACAGCACCATATTTTCCAATAGGTACCGGAGATAGGCACGCTCACTTTCAATTGCGGTCTGTACAACTAACGGTTGCCATCGCTAGGAGATAGGAGTAAGCAGTGTTGCTGCAAAAAATAGTTTTTCAATTTGTTTGCAGTGCCACTAAAAGCTTTGAACTGCAAAAGTCTAAGGGGAACTGCCACTGCGCCCGTCACTCTGAGATATTAAGTTGATAAGTGCCATCTATCTGTAGTTTGACCAGCATCCTTTACCTTTGGTGGCAGTACTTTCCTGAACGATCTCTTTCACAAGGACCTCTACTGTTGTTAAATAGTTTTATACTAGCATAGCGATAGAGCTAAACTAGTAACTCCTTAACATCACTCTCATATAAAATCGAAAATATCTACTAAATCTACTAAACTTACTACTACTAAGTCTACAAAATCTGACTAATGACACTGGTACTCACTACTAGGAAAAAGGAACCTAAGCACGCGCTCAGACAGGTGAAAATAACGTTGCCCGGATTGTAATGTAAATGAAAGACTTGTCTGAGCGCTTGCACCGCCGGCGGTACACTCAGCGGTAGGTACTCGTAACCTCTCGCGTAACCTCGAGAGAGCGACGGACCCTGCGTAAATCGTTTAGTGATAAGAATTATATCTCATGACTATAAAGACAAAGACGTAGTAAAAGTAGAGTTTATTCACTTAAAAATCTTGATTAAAACTTTGAAAATTCCCAGATTCATGAAATCCCTACACTAACTGAGAAAGACTAGAAAGCTAAATAATCTTTAAATCAATTCGATTAAATCTGCTTTCAAATAAAAAAAACGGTTTTAAATCAGTTAATACATTTAATAGCTGTGATCTTTCGAGCAGACATACAGACAAGGGTTTTGAACTCATAACTCCCCTGTTTTACGTCAAGGGATAAAACTAGCGGTTTGGTTTAGAATTGTCTGTTTACTTTAAGTGTGAAATAGATAGCAAGGATAGAATCGGCCCTGAGGGAAAACAGCAACATACGGCAGAACGTAAAATTTATGACCCTCGAGGTAGTAAAGATAGATTTAAAGTTTTAGTAAAATATATTATCTCATCGCCCCGGAGTGTCTTTGACAAATGAGTTTAAAGAAATTAACATTTTCGTCACAGCGCTAGGATGAAAATGTAAAAAATAATAGTAGCTTTTTAATTAAAAATAGTGACACACATAACAATTAGTAAGTGATATAAAAACAAACTGTTTGTAGTGTGTATCTAGAATATACTCGTATACTTTGTACTCCTTATATAATAGTTTTTCACCAATAAAGAGTCAGTATGTAAACAGCTCTCGCTCGTTTTCAATCGTCTCCCAACGCCACACACCTTATGGCGACCCTGCCTCGTCGGACTACAGGTGTCATGTAGCACGCGTCGCGAGTAATGTGAAACGATCAAAAGTTTAAAAGTTCCATCAAGCTAAATAATTCAAAATTTTGTAATAAAATAGAAAGACACACAAAAGGAAGGATGTGTAGATCATCAAATCCAGCGCCGCCGCCCAGCAACAGCGAAGAAGGCAAGATATACACGGCTCAAATTGGGTATAACAATAAGCTGGACCAGCATAATACCCTGGTCATTACAAATTTGGGACAAATAAACCTGTATTTGGGAATATTTCTGGTCATAGTTGGCATCGTCGTAATGTGTGCTTTGTTGAGATACTTTAATTTGTGTATCAATAAACGCATTGAGCGTGGAGCTGAAGCGATGATGGTGAGGATGAGAACCACAGGAGCCGGAGGAGCCAACTAAGTGGAAAAAAAGGAAAAAGTTCGTTTTGGTGATAGGAAAGTACAAAGTATACGAGTATATTCTAGATACACACTACACGCACACGCGTAACATTAATGCAGCGATGTAAACGTGCGACTACATAGTTGCACTTTGCATGCAATCACGCGTTTGCAGCGACGCAATCGCCTATAAATCGCAAGTGTAGCATGCAATCGTGCGTTTAAAAGTCGCCGTCGTCTTTTATGATACCAAGTAGCGGAACGAATAAATTGTACGCCTGGTGGTAAGGGACACGCCTATACATAGCAGCTGCTGTACCACTCAGAGATTGAAATCGGAAAGATCTGTGGGACACTGCCACTGCGCAAGTCACAAGTAATTTCACCAGCACTCTTATTATTTATTTAAGTTTATTAAACTACAGTGAAACAAAAACATTATACTGAATGTTATTTACTTAATATACAACTACTGCGTACTTGGATGACAAAAACCCATGGTTATTTCGATTGTAAATATTTGAAATAAATATTGTAAATGATAAATGAGTACAAATGTTATATATACCTATATTTCGTTGCAATTTTTAATTTTATTGAATGTTTTGCTTTTTTGACATTGATATTTAATTATTTTTGTTAAATTACTCCACTACTAAGTTTCTAATAATTTTACTAATACAAAAATGGAACATTTACAAAAAAATCCTTCAATCCGGCTGGACTGAACCCCGACTGAACTTTTCATTAATAATTTTCATTAATAAAGCCAATCTTTGCATTAATAAGTTAACCCGTAGTGTCTTACTCATTTTTCTCAAGGGAATCTGCTTAACGAATAAGTAGTAGACTTTAATCAAAGTGATGATTTTAAGTGTAATTTATTTACTTATGAAATAAAGATACTTATAAATTTGTATCAAAACAAGTAGTGTTACAATTATGACATGGCAGACTATATTTAAATGTATCGATGTACCATGGCTATAAACTAAAAGGGCTTACAGAAACAGGGCCATCTGTTAAGGAAAATAAAGCCATAGAGTCTGTACCATATACGTACATATGCCAATATGTACGCTTTTATAGCATGTTGTAACAATAAGCATTGTGGCTAAAATATTCGTACAGGTATACCTAGAGATGGGAAGAAAGTGTTATGCTTTTTTAAAAAAGCGTGATTTTTAAACGCTTTTTAGTTTGAAGCTAACAAAACCGTTTAGAAAACGTTTAAACACTTAGACTTTTAAAAAAGCTTGCAACGTTTGTGTTGATAGCGAAATGCAGGAGTAGACCACTAAGTAAGTTTTTTTGTAAAAAACGAGTTTTTTTTTATTTATGACATAACATTATCGTATTAACATTTTGTTCATTGGCGTTTAAAAGCGTTCAAAAACATAAGTTTTTTAACTTTTGTAGTTTAACTGTGTAGTAAACTGCTTATTTTGTTAACGTTAAAAAGTACGTTTAAAAAGCGTGCTTGTAAAAGCGCTTTTCAACGCTTTTTAGTTTGACGCTTAAAAAGTCGTTTAGAAAAACGTTTGAGCGCATAGACTTTATGTTTAAAAAAGCTTGAAACGTCATGTTGAATTAATTTGTTTAGGAAACATAGATTGCGCTATTTGAAATTTAGGCACGTTGTAAAAAATCAAATTGTTGAGTCTATAGAACTGACCAGTGATGACGCTTACGCTTAAAATGAAAAGCGTGCTTATGCGCTTATTTTAAAAAGCAGACTTTTTAAGTGCTTTTCGTTTAAGCACCCACCTCTAGATATACCTCCAACGAGCGACCCAATACTCGTAACAATGAGATTTTATTTATTA